AAAAATAACTGTATGGTGGGGAGTATGTCCATTTTCGCATTTATCCGTTCTGCAGTTCTCCTGTACATTCTAATTCTTGCAGGTTCGACTTTGCTCAATTGCATGTAATTCAATGAGACTAATAATCAATAGAACAGCCTTTGCTTGTAAGCAGGTAATTGGAATGGTAAGAAGGCCGAGGGAGATAGGATTAGCGACGCCCCCTTTCCTCTTCTAGAATCAAAATCAATTCTTGTTAACGTACCTTTATGGCCAGTTGAAATATCTGTTTCCCCACTGTTGTGTATCTCGATGCATTAAGTGGTGCATGCCCCCCAGGTAAGATGACGCTATAAAAGACATTTATAACCACATCTCTTTACTTTGAACAATTGTTTGGCCCTTGTCACAAAATGCTCGAAAAAATATGAACTTACATTATCTTTCCAATTGACTCTGAGAATTACATTAGACTTACCCGTTAATAGAATAGAATAACTTCTCAATCTGATCTGCTGTTTGATCAATACTGGACAAGTAATGTAAAGAACATTAACAGCGAATGAACTATATTGAGCAAATATTGCCATATACGGCACAACCAAACATCGAGCGTAAGGGGACTGGGGAGTACAGGGCGGATAACTACTCAGAGTAAAATAATGATCCATGCCACAGTGCATGTAGTTTAAGCGTTATTCTTTCAAAGGATACAGTATGGGCGCGACCCTCGCGCCGGCCGACTCAATTAGCTTAACGTACGATGAAGAAATGAATTGACCATAACCAAATATTTCGTGTTTCCCAGTTACCTCTTGGCTTAGGATACCTAGGGATTTACATTTTTATATGTCAATATGAATYTGTCCGCTCAGGTTAATACCTGACTTTCCCAGAAGATCTTGCTTATGATTTCATCCCACTCGAAACGAATTCTCTGATTTGATTAGCTAGTGCGCTGGTCTAAAAAGAATAAGGACGCTTTTCTCTTTTATTGTTTTTTGTTTTGTTTTGAGCAAGCATCTTGAATAAGGTCTTCCGAGACGTGAAAACCCACCATGATTTTTAAATCAAAGTTAAAATTAAAATTAAAATTTATTAAAATTGAGTTGTACCGTACTGCTGTAYTTAATCGAACGAACACAATATRTTGAAACYCAAAAGTATACTAATATTTSGGCCAGCTTCGTCAGAAATCCATCAAAACATAAGGACTGTCGAAACGCCTGAGTAATAGTTTCAATAAGCAAATTCCGCAAAAGCATTTCTCCAATATTTTACAATAGTTCCATGATTTTTTAATACCACAACTTTTAGCTCTTCTTCCGTTCCAAACTCTGTCTTTAAAAAATATCAAGGATTAATAATATTCCAAAAAAACTTAGTACTAAATGWTTGACATAAAGCAGTATAGTACTAATGACTACTGCTTGGATGATTGAAACAGTTACAGTTAAAAGCGTTATATATTGTATTTATTTCAGGTGTCTCGTTATTGCTCTAATAATTCAGAGATTTGATTCGTATTCTCGAGTAGCCTATTCTACACTAATAGCCGAAATGTATATTATAATCTAGAACTCGCCTTATTCTAGTGGTGGTGATAGGTTTTCACTATCCGTTAGATTTYGAATTTTGCGTACCCACTTAAACAGTTATCCCTAGCGGTCTTGATCGTTCTTACCTATGATTGGCCGGTCGTTTTTCACCATAAGATCATTAAATTCAAAGTTACTTCCTGTGGCTTCTTTTATAACTAATCCAACTAACATTAGCAGAAGAAAATCCATGTTGCAGCAGAGCAAAGCTGAAAAATAAAAATATAACTTCAAAAATAAAATTCCAACAGGTTTTTCGTCGCTATAACCCCGAGGTTAATGAACACCAGTGAAAATAAACCAAAACACAGTGCCTTAAATAGGTGAGAAATTATTTTTTTATTATTATAATTATTATTATCTTTGTAGGGTTAAAAAAGGTAGGGTCAATATACCCGGCTCTAGTCCACCACTCTCCGACGTTCTACATACATAATTTTTTTCAGTTGCATCCTATTCGAACTATTTCAACGTTRCGGCGTCACGTCCATTTTGTCAGAGACCACTTATATAGAAAGATGTTTTAGGTTGGAGAAAATCGTCAGTTATAAGTAAAAGAAAGTCATTCATGAAAGAATTCATAATATATGAAACTCATTGAAAAGATTTTTGTTTTACAGGCAAGAAAAAGAATAACACAGGCTCTATTAACAAAAAGAAAGAGAAAACAAACTGGAAAAAAAAAAAAAAACAAAGCAAAGCAAACAAAAATCGCAATTGATCCAAACTTACTGAACTATCTGCAAGACACAGGTAGCCCCTTGTTGTTATCGGAACATGGTGTGAATCGGACTGCAAGCGGCATATCAAAAAGAATTTCCTCAGAAAAGTTTCCCTTCGTTTAGCAGCCA